GTGTTGCATCCAATTTTAACATTACCTAAGTAGTGTAAAAAGACAGACAATCCCTGATAAACATGAGGTTTCTTGCAAACATAAAGATGGATTTCAACAAAGTAGAAATGATAACAGAAGTCATACCTATGAAGAATCAGGTATAATTGGTAAAATAGAGATACTGTACCAAAAATGGGACCAAAAAATAGAGTTCTGTGGGACACTTGGTGTGATCACCTTTTAAGTGGAGGAACAATACCCAATTAGAGTAAATTGTATTCTAGTAAAGGGTTAAATTTAAACCACAACAAAGATATTCCAGTCATACCAGTAACTCAATCGATTCTTTAAGTTGGTAGATCAACCAGTCTGTCTGCTGTTGGACAGGAATCAGAGAACACATAAACTAGTGCCTGCCTGCAGTACTGGATATGAACTTGAACCTGGAGTAAACCTTTTCTCTTGCTACCTGGATACCATTTTCCTGTGGTTGTTCATGAAGTCTGGGCAGAATGTCATTTCTGCAACGGAGCCTTTCTCACTGTTCTCTCCCTTCAAGAATATAACGATCATGACTAGCACTAGTGCCAGCTCCCCATGTACCCCGAAATAATGCTATGCATGACTCAAAGACTATAATGTCAACAATAGTAAAATAATAAATGTTATATAGCACTTTCATTATATATTATCTGGTGTTGATGACGGTCATGAGAATGCAGACACTTCTGTACTCTCCACACAATCAACCCACTATATGACTTATCCTGAGAGCCACATCCATCTCTAAAATTAATGAGATTAGCACAATTGTATTTTTCTATTTAGGTGTAAACTCCCTGTTGGTTTATTGTCTATAAATAACATCATTTTTAAACTGATCTCTTTTCTTTTCTGAGACCAACCAGACTACTACAGTCTTCTACAATTCCTTCTTGCTCAATGGAAAATATTTATGCTTGTGTTAATTCCATACCTGAGAATATCTAAAAATTGAAACTGTCCATTATTGCTTTTACGGTATTATTGCGGTCACGTTATGTATTTAGCAGAAGCTAAGCAAGGTTAGCACTAAAATTGGAGACCATAAGGAAAAACAGGTTGCTGTTTTTATTCAGCGGTGTTGCTGGCTCTGTAACTGGCACACTCTCTGGACCAAAATCTTATCCAGCCAATTTCTATCTGCTTCATCCAATTCACAGTTATGAGGGAGCCAGAGCCTAAATCAACAAGAAACATGCACAACACAAGATACAATCTGGACTGGTGACCAGTCCATCACAGGGCACACACTCACTCCAGGGCAAAATCTTCCAGAAGACAATTAACCTACCAGTATGTCCTTCGACTGTGGAGGGAAACCCTCATGAACATAGGGAGAACATACAAATTCTATGCAAGATAATGCCCCAGATGAATCCAATTGGACCCAGGGCTGTGAAGCAGCAATACTAACCAATGCACCGCCAATACCGCCCAATACCTAGACCTATATATCCAGGCTGTGTGCTACACTTAAGTGGCGGATGAAGTAAGTGTTCCCTTATATGTAAAGCACTTTGGGATGAAAATCACTATATATATATACACAGAGCATCAAAGAAAATGTATCACATTAATTCATGTTTTTTTTAGATAAAGTATACAGATTTTGAAAATTATGTTTTTGGTGTAGCTTTTTACACGAGTAACTGTTGCATAAGCACTAAATCTCCTCATTAGTGAGTTTATTAGGCTGCTGTATACTAAGAGTAGGAAATTCAATAAGAAACAAGAAAACACACCTTTTTAATCCAACATTTAATGTTGGATCATTTTGATCAATAAATGAATTAAAAAGTATATCCTTTTGTGTGTTATTTGTTTTATTGGATTCTCTTTATCTATTTTTATGACTTAGATGAAGATCTGATCACATTTTAGGTCACATTTCTGCAGAAATTCAGAAAATTATAAAGGGTTCACAAACTTTCTAGCACCACTGTACCTGCAAATGACAAATATTAATCCGTTAACGACCACAGAACTAGAACCTCAGTTTCACATCTCATCCGAAGGATGGCGGCTTTTTGACAGGATAGTGTCCCTATACTAGGACATTAGGATCCACACAGACTGCAGGGAGAGTGCTCCACGCTGGCCCCACTAACACCTCTTCCAGCAGCAACCTTAGTTTTTTCCCAGGAGGTCTCCCATCCAGGTACAAACCAGGCTCACACCTGCTTAGCTTCAGGGGGTTGCAGAGCGAAATGGCTGCTGGTAAATGCTTTACGTTAATTTATTTTAATGTTTATTATACAGGACACGCAATTAAATATTAGTTTTCACTAAACCTCAATGTTATCTCACTTAATACACTCTCACTTATCTTTCATTTGACAAAAAAAAAACAGCACTCATTTTCAGCAGGTAAAAAAAAGCTATTTGAAGATAAAATGTCTAGGGTAAAGGAGATACAACAAATTAATATATCACAGAAATGCTTAAAAATCCTTAAGTAATAAAACTAAAATTAACCTTCAGAAAACTTTACAATGTTGACCTTTTTTAGATTGGATACTATATTTTAGTCAGCCAGCTTCTACACTATCTCCACCTGCTGGTTTAAAGTTGAGATAAATAGATATGACTGTATTAAGCCTCAGAATCTTACAAACTAACACCTAGAATTTGCTCAGAAAGTTACATTTCCAAAGCAAAAAAAGAGCACATGACAACATAAATCCAAACACTTTGCTGGAACCTTACATATCAATTTACAAGGAAAACATACCCTTTTGCCTTTTTAAAGTATATAAACCTTCTAGACGTCCCCTAATGAAAGAAACATTTTAATTCTACAGAAACAATTCCACCAACACAATTGATGGGGACAGGTGTCATGAATTTGCCATCAGATAATTTGAATTTCTTAAATCAAGATAAACTTGATAGAAGAAAACAGACCAATGAAAATACTGTAACAATTTAACACTGATGTAGTTACTTAAATTCAATCTCTTTTGAATGCAAATGAACATTACAATTAATTGAATGACACAAGGATAATTTTTAAATGGCTGACATATAACTAACTTTACCATTATTTTCCTATGGATAGTTCTACAAAGTTTCTTAGATTAATGTGGCTAACTGAAAGCCTACAGCAGAAAGTACAGCTTTGTAAAAACATTATAAAATGCCATTCCTTAAAGTTCAAAACCCTTGTATAAGCAAACCAGTAAAGCTACCAGAAATAAAATGCTGCAAGCCCAATTAGTTTTGACAGCAGGATTACACCAGATAACTCAATGCGATATAATCAGAGCAAAAGAGGAAAGTTATGTAAACAGGGCCTCATTAGTTTTTTGGGGGGAATACATTACAAAATAAGGCCTAAGACAACGAAGAAAGGAAATAAAACAGATGCAAGGTACTATATGGAGCAGGTTAATATAAAAACTTTACCTTTGTATGTCAGGGTTCAGGACTGGTTTAGACCAACTCTGCACTATTAATCTGCACTAAGAAAACAGTCCAAGGCAGTTTTTGGCAACTGCGTCACCCTATCATCTACAGTAAAGCTAGGAAAAGATAGTCAGCTGTGGAATGCAGGGTTCTAATCCAATTTAGGCCCATTCCACCAAAAGTGGTCCCGACACTGAGAAAATTAAAAATACCATAAAGGACAAGGATTTGGCATTATATAATGGTTAAGTTTTATCAAACAAAAACATTTTTATTTGGGTTCCATACATATAAGCTGTATGGAATCTTTTCTCCTGACTTTTCAATACTAGATACTCGAACACATCCTAACAATCCAGGTCACTGTGATTTAATACAAGCTATTTTTAATTTATCTAGGTAGCATTCTAAAAGTTAAAAACTCTAAAAGTTAGTTTAATGTAGCAGACATGATCTATGCTTCTGAATTCTTATAGAGAACGTTTACAAATGTCCCATGATAAATCTTACCTTTAGACCATACCCCAGCCCCATGGTGACGGTGCTACTACTATTCTACTGCCAGCTTCTTGGACCAAAACTATTTTTAGTGGACAAATAAATGCATTATATTGCTTTGGATTGGCAAGGGGAGGGGGGACAGAGCTTGTCAGTGAGGTTAGCAACATTAGTTACATTCTCATGATTTACCTTAATCAGTAGGTTTGAGACAGTGGATATTGTTTTGTTGTATTTACTGTACACAGTTGCCTTTGCTAAAGATACAGATTTTCAAAGGAGAGTTCCCAATAATTAACTTGGCTTAATTAACTTCACTGTTAAATTACCAAGACAGCAATATTAAAAAATAAAAGTAATTTAACAGTGACTGGGCTGTTCCAAGTGAGGACATAAAACCATCCTCCATAGGAATGGATCAAAGTATAAAACAGACAGAGACAGGAGAAGCAAGAACAAAAAGAAATAAAGGCATCATCATCAGACATTTGTGTTGTGAGAGCATACTTCTTTTCAATCAGATTTCAAAACAGATTTTTTTCCTCCTATTCTCAGGGATGCTTTGTATAGAATAGGGAAACTGGTCCCCATTCATTTGTGAGCATGTTTAAAGTTCAAGTTTTAAATCAATTCTACAGTACTTGTTGAATTTAAGCAACAGCACAATCCACTCGTATCAATTGGTCAAGGCCAACAGCACGAAGTTGCATGCCGCCCCCATCTCCATGTCACTAATTAATATTTGTATCTGTTACATTATAAATGGTTTAGAAAAATGCATTAAATTAAGATATAAGCATATGTTTATTTTTGGTAATGGTGCCATTTGCTAAACAAGGTTGTCTGCAGACCAACACAGGACACTTCCCCCCCCCAGCTACCATAATTTTTTTCTTTAAATAATTCTGACCATAACTTTAACCCTTAACTAAATTTTAATTCTACCCTTTCCCCAATCTTAGCCATAGCAATAATATTAATCCTACCCAAACCTAAATGGGGAAGATATAAAATTGAGGATTCCAAAATGTATATATGCATCTTTAGCTTTATGTAAAAGATATTTACAAAAATGCTGCAAACCTTATTTCACTTTTATTTTTACAGAAAATAAAACCAAAACATTATCACAACATTTTAGGACAATATATGATGTTTTCAAGCAACTGTGAAAATGAGTTCAAATGAACTGTTCTTCAAAGGAGCATCCACACATTATAAAAACTTTTTAAATATTAGTAAAGGAAATAAACTGTAGTTGACAAACAGAAATACAAAATAACACCTTTTCAGTGTTAAATGTTAACACTACAATTTATATGATCAAAACATAAAACATAGGACAGACTATGTGTATTTTCTCTTGTATTTCTCTATCATTACTGAAGGTTGAGATAATGAGGCCTCTTTAAAAATAAAAACAAATGCATTATCAGTCAGAAGACGACAGCAGAAATCATTTCCGAAAGCCTTTGAAGTGTTGCCCATTTTAGTCTTCAACCTCGGGCCTTTTTAAGAAGATTCTGAAAACAGAGAAAAAAAGTCAACTTTATTAATATATCTATTTTCCACTACTACAGGTCCCTTCCTTCTTGCCTGCCACTCTTTCTGTATCTGTCACTCTCCTTCAAAATTGTGCAGTTTAAGGACAGTTCTAAAAGCCTATTGTACAGTTAAATTACTTGTGTAATATTTAACATCTGTTCTATCAGTCATGTATACCTACAAAGCATTTCCATCATAACTCAAAAGTGATGTGAATGATTGCATATCTAATAACAATAACTAATAACCAACTCAATGTGAAGCCTAATTAACTATTTAGTGTTAATTTCAGCAATTAAACCAGTGAACCAATGCAAGCAAGAAACTGGTAAAATCGTTGTAAAAGGATGAAGAAATACACCAACAGAATAAACTGAAAGGCACAATACAATATTTTTCCCCAGAGTAAATTACATGACATATATTGTCTTAAAACAAGCACTCCAAAATATCCAATATAAAAAACAAACAGAACTTTATTACCCCTTTTTACTTTCAAGATGAAAATCACCATGTCTTGTAAACTGAAAATCACATAAAAATATCTTTCACATAGCTGTATGTCTATGGTCACGAAACTGTAAGTAGGTATATGTCTGTTTTGAATTAACTTTTAATCAAATAAACTTGTTTTATTATTAAATAAACTGTGTACAGATTTTAGCTGACCGGATCTCTGCCTACTTTTATTCTAACTTGTTTACACTTTGAGCATCATGCCCTTTAGTCTTTGCTTCTTAGCCAAAGAAACCAGCTTCAACTCAAAAGTTCCTGTTATTCAGCAGTTACCATTTAAACTACATGCTCTAGGAAGACCAAAGTCATTAAGAACTGTTACAGTGTGTTTTAAATATTTGGGTCACAGACTGACTATATTTCAATAGCACTGAAAAAAAAATACATAAATCTGGACAAGATTAAATTTTGTTAACAGCTTGGACCACCTCCCAGATTAATAGCAACTAGTGGCAAAGTTGTGAAACACATTCCCTTGTATTGTTTGTTTACACACAAGCTTTTAAACCTTATAAAAACACAGCATGTAGTTAAAGACTGGGTTAAATTTTCAACCCATTAACTTCACTCTTCTGGACTCCACACCAATTCCATGCCCACAAAACCCATTTCACAATACAAAATTCCCAAAACACATGTGGTGTAAAGAGATAAGAGACTAAGATACTAAACATGTTTTCAACGTAATAAAACAGTTGAACTGTAATGTTATAGGTCTTAAAGCTACCAAGGGTCATTCTATGGTAACTGAAATATAAAAGTGAAAATCAAACTTGAGAACAAGTGAAACAAATTAGGCAAAGAAAGCATTATTCAACACATATTTGCACACAATGGGTTTATGGAAGCAAAATGAAACAGCAGCCATTATCCATGTCAAACCTTATTGCTCCATACTTTGTCACATTAACTTATCCCTTGCATTCTTGAGAACTGCGTTTTTAGCAGTCTGTCTCAGGTTATTTTCCACTCTGTGCCAAAGTATGTAAAATGTTTTCGAATATCCTTACTACTTTTACAACAATCTGTATTTTTAATTTTAACTTTGTAAATCTACACCCTCAGAAAGACCATAAATATACCAGTATTGCTGGACTTCAAACAGTATATAGAAAACTGTGGGCTGTTCCATTTTATGATTTCCTTGTTTAATACACAAAACCTTCAAGATGTTTCTTTAGTAACATTTATCAAAGATCAGAGCATTCCTGTTGTCCAGAATAATTTCGCCAACGTGTCAACCTTTAAGTCCATGCCATAACCAACAGGCTCAAAACGAATAAAATACCAATAAGAACATTAAATCATTCTTTCCTGTGTGACCTACAAAAAATAGGGGAATGGCCCACTAAGTATTGTATTTATGTGGTGGACTTGCATTTCTGGAAATTCTGTTATTGTATGACCACTGAAAATTATTGCACCGACCACAGCAAGATTCTTTTATTTCATTAAAGCACATAGTATATAATTAACAGTACTAAACTTAATTCCAGAGCACCTGGTGTGAATGATGAAACAGTAGCCAAGTGGTATAATAATGGGAAGCAGACACACATTGGTGGGCTCCAGCTATCAAATGAGTGTTTCTTTACAACTGGTCCAAAAGTTCAAGCATTCCATCTTGAGAAAAAAAAATCCAGATTTGCATTATATTTGAACAATGGAGTAATCTCTGTCCAACAGAGGTTTCAGATAAGACCCCCCCCCCCCACATGGTCATGTACATTTATTTAAATACATAATGGCTCATGGACAATTTGAGAGTTGCTATGATGCAAGTTATATGGCATGCAAAAACATTATACACACTTAGATGCCTTTCCGCTTTGATGTGGACAGCAGTATGAATGGCAACTCTGTTTAACAAGCAAGTCCACACTGCATCTTATCTTTAAGCACAGAAGACATTGCTTGGTAAAAACAGCAGTGAAGCACACTGCCTAAAGGTTCCTATCTAACATTACAACTTGTCCTTATTTTCAGAGTTGCTTAGACAGCTTCAAATATATGAAATGGAAAACACAAGCTGCATTATGCAGACATCCCTCTCCTGGAACCCACTCCTTACTCAATTTACTTTATTGGTAAAGCATCCACTACTTCACCACACCATGTCACACAAGTTCAAAACTATTTTTACATTTACTCCAGTTGGGCACTACTTCAGTTCTGCATGATTAAAATTAATTGAATACAATGTTTCAATACAACTCTCTATTAAAGACTTTGTTCTGGTCAGAAAGCAGAACACCTTAGCAAGTGCCAATGCCTGACTCTAAAGGCAAAGTTATCTATATAATGCCTATACAAAAGCTTGAAAACAGAGAAGATGTCTACATAGTCATTTAACAGTTCTAATATAACCAGTCAACATCTGAATATCTGGTCACCAACTAATTTTGACAAGAAGATTAGTCACTGTGCAACACTTGGCTGCGGAACGGTGGCACCGTGGCTAAGGATCTGCACCTGTGGCTGGGAGGTTGCCGGTTCAAATCCTGCGGCCGGCAGAGGAATCCTACTCCGTTTGGCCCCTGAGCAAGGCCCTTAACCCCAGCTGCTCTAGGGGCGCCATATAAATAGCCGACCCTGCACTCTGACCCCAAAATTCTCTCTCCCCATCTGTGTGCCTGTGCATCTCATGGAGAGCAAGCTGGAGTATGCAAAAAATAAATTCCTAATACAAGAAATTGTATACGGCTAATAAAGTGATCTTATCTTATGCTTAGCAAAATCAAGGTGTTTTTCCAAAACAGAAAGGGTTTGGCATCCATGTGATGTAAAAGCAATTTACACGCATTCGGGTCAACAAACAATTAAAATTAGATTATAATTTCAGCCTGTAATAATATTGGGCTTTTACAGAAACAGTCCGAAAGCATTTTGTTATAGGCAGGACATTCTCTGCTGATAAAGTTAGTTTCAAATTGTCTAAAGCGGTAATGAAATGCAGTGCGTTAGAGCAAGGAACAATTTAGTTAACTAAATCAATCGAGAACTGACTTATACCATTTGCACTGATGTGCTAGCCTGCAGAAATAATACGCAATGTGAAATGAAAATCTATCAACATTTAGTAAAAAAAAAAGTCTCTGTCTAAAAAGTCTTGCTTTGCAAAGGAAACACAAGTAAATAATTACCTTTGATACTGCCTTTACATGCAGAGGCTTAATTGTTGCAGTTTTGTCTTCAAAAGCTTTGGCTCTGGATTCCTCAGCCAGACGATGAAGAAACAACAGGAGGTTTAAGTGCACCTTATAATAGGAAAAAAAAAGATATTAAAATAAATCATACAGGATCTTTCTTAAAACAGTTGGTTGAGTGGAAACTAATAAGCATCCCAATTCAGATTTTAGACTGGTTTAGTGGCCCCGCATGGAGAGATAATCCAAACTATACAGACACTGGAGTCAAAGATGAAGCAATAAAATTATTTTACTGAATAAAATCTGTGTTTCAAAAGAAATCTAGAGGTACGTCATTAAGTTCAACTAAGGTTGTTCGCTGTGGGACAATAATAAAAAACCCTGTGATTGCATTACCCTCCTCAGTGTCTCTACTCAAAAACACTCTGCAGTAAACTAAATAGGAAATTGCCTTATTTCAAGAAAGACAAAAATATTGAATAACTTAAAGAAACTATTTCAATCAATGTTTGGTAATATCTTATTATATAGCTCCATGAACTATTATTCAGGATTAGAAACAAACCTAGCCAAAAGTTCCACATAATAATGGAGCTAATAATAATTCATAATAATGAAGCTGGAACCTATCCCAGCAAGCATCAAGCACTAGGCAGGATACACCCTGGATCGGATGCCAGTCAATCTCAGGGCATACAAAGACACACCAGTGACAAAATGTAAAATGCCATGTTTTATAAGAAAGTTTGACACCCCTGACATCAATAAACATCTTGAATGTACATGTATTCATAGACTACATTTGTAATTACACAACCTCCAGGTAATCTTTTAGTCCACAAAATATGTATTTTTTGCACCAAATCTAGTTTAGGGGATGTGAACATAGGACCTAAAGTTTGAACACATCCCCACTTATTATATTATTAGTTAATAATTAACTATCCTTTTGAATGTTTAAGAATTATTTATTGATGCAGTATGACTCAAGCCCTTTTATATATAAGCTTACATGGCAAACAGTAGGATACAATCTGTATTCAAAGTGAAGAATGTAAGGCATTTTAAAGATAGCAATGCAGAAAAGTACACTTGTAAATATGTACACCAAACAAACAAGAATTCTAAGAATTATTTTGGAATCCATCTTTTCACAAAATAGCTTAGAAACTTCTAAACTCTTACATCTAAAGTACTCAGAATATGTCAAATGTGATTCTATATTAATTCTCCATAATCTGTCTAATCTAACCTGTAACAGGAGGAGAGTGTCCTCTTGGAAGGATCAGCAACAAATGAGACAATTTATTCCAAATATTCTAATGTAAAAAATGTTAGGAACTGGCATAAATGATCAGGCATCAGGTTAAACCAAAAAAAAACTTTTGTACCATATAAAGTTCTCTTGCAATAGGATAATGTTACAACTCCTTAAAAATCAGTGTTAAAGCTAAATGGAGAACTTTAATAAAGTAAGACACTGTGAGATTTTAAGGTAGTTTAGTAACTTTAAATTACATCCATACATCCTATGCCCAAACCATCAGTGTTAGAAATACAGAACACAGATCCATCTTTCCTTTAATAGTACTGCTTCTGCAAGTGGCTTTAAAACATTGAAAAGTGCAATAAAATGGAACCTTCAACTGGCCGTTTTCAGATTAATCAAATGCCACTCTTTGATCCGTTTCCAAACCCAAAATAGAAGTCCAGCACACCCCAAGGCAATCAATTACTTCTGTAAAAGGCTGATTTATAAACAATGACCCATCAACAACAGGAACACAGTTGCATTTGTTTCCAAATTTGCCATTCTTACTGTATTGCTGCAGTATGCCACTATAGCTAATCCTGTATATTTTTCTTAACATTTAAAAATTATCTTCCAGTCTAAATATATGAAGCAAACTCAGCCCAATTATTGTCTGCAAGCAATTATATAATTAAGAATGGTAAACAACTTGAAACTGAATAAACCCCCATTAATCTGGCTGAAGCAATGATGAATTATTCATGCACAAATACTCTCTACTTGAAAACTGAATGAAAGATAACGGGGCAAATTATATTTCTTGTACAAATTGAAAGTGCATACACAGAGATTTAGCTTTGTATCTGCCCAAGATTGGGAGGCACATTTCAGCGTAAGAAAACAGACATTATTGGGCTTCCTAAAAGGATATAACAGATTATTTTTGTATTCAATCAACCATCAAATGTTGATTGAATGCAGGCAAGTTCAATTAAATGAATGAACAAAGCAACCTCTTAAGCATTTTTAGCAGTAAACATAGAGCTGTAATACCTCAGCCATGTGCCAAAAGGATCCCCGAGTGATACAATACCATGGAAAGGTTCCACAACACTGTTTTGACCTCAAACATTTATAGCATGGACAACTTAACAAATCTCACAACCTTGAGACAACATAAAGAGTTCACTTCCTTAAGTACATGGTCTCTTGTTAGTAGGGGCACAATAGCTCAAGTAGGTAGCTGTGTCAGCATGCATAGGCCGCAAAGGAACAAGTAAAGGTTTATTCCATGCTGAAAAGAGAATAAAAGAATCAATGTTTTGGCTCTGTCACACCCAAAGAAGGCTCCACAGCTGAAACGTTGTTTCTTTTATTCTCATTTCAGCATGGAATAAACCATTACTTGTCCCTTTGCAGAATCTACAATGACAGTTTGGCTATAATGTGGTGACATGTTACAAGCTATTCTAAACAGCAATGCAACTCAAAGCTGAATAACATATACATCGTTATCAAAATATATTTTGAGCAAGCACTACAGTGACTTTCAGAAACATTTGAGTCGGCCACCAGAAAGCATGAAGTTCCGTGTGCTCTGTAGGAATTCAAGAAGTAAAATGTGAAACAAAGGAATCATTACCCAAGTTTAGTATCACCAAGGAGTTACCAAATTGCCCTTTTTTTTTGCTTATGAAGAACAAGATAAATATAATCCTTTGCTACCATTTCAAATAAGTTTTTTTTAAAGGTTGTTTTTTTAAAACTAATTTATTCCCCTATTCTCAACGTAATGCAACTGTTTGTGAAAGTAGCATTAAGGTTTGTAAAGTGAAAACCTGCAATAATATCAATAGTAACAGTTAAAGAATGAATACAAGTTTTTTTTTTAAAGTAATAAGCAAACTAATGCTTTATAGATCAAAACCCAGAGACATTTAAAGGCACTATGTTCAACGAAAACAACTGGAAGTTTGTTTTTTTGCAACAAAAAACGATTTCACATAATGACTAAACAAACGTTCAATAAATGTTTGAAGAACTGATGTTCTGTTTTGTTTTTCCTCCAAGGAACACTTTATATATGACTTTATATTTTTTGTTGCGGATAACTAATCCAATAACATTTTTAAATGATAATTTAAAGCAAGTTGAAATGCCAGCATATTTCAACAGAACTAACTGAACACTTTATTTTAACATAAGTACAAACGTAAAGTCTCCAAACTCACACAACTTATTTCCTGATATTAAGCAATTTGCTAGTTGATTTCCTTGTCGCCCAGTTTTCGCCCCATGTTTAGGAAACTAAAAGTTCTCTTATGTAACACGCCTCAATTTTAATTCTGTAAAGATCTCTGGCCTACTTGAGATTAAATTGTCTTATATAAACAAATACTTTTGTATTGTAATAGTTAAAATGGAGAACTTTTTTTAAAGTCAAGATATAAAATAACATTATAATTATGTTCATTCAAAAAAATGTTGAAACTTCACTGCCCTACTAGTTTAGCATCACTGGGGAGTTTCCATACTCCCCCTTTTCCTCATTGGAACCTTTGCTTTCATTCAAAAAGGACAAGTGCTGTGGTATATTTTCAAAAATATTGTTTTCCTTGCAGAAGGTTTGAAGCATACAGATTTATTTTAAAATACTTGATTTTTTAGAGTACCGATGCAATGCAATTGATTTTCAAAGAATGTTAGCTCCTTCTGTTTGAGGTAACAATAAATGAGGATTACATTTCAAAAAGTCTCTGATGTGGTCACTTCCAGGCTGGAGTCTTTGAGAAGTCACTATTAACAATACATCAAGTTAACCATACTCCTTATGACGTTTTCTGTGACCACTACAAACAAACAAAACCAATTGGCACATTATTTTCATCATTGTTTTTGGTGTAGTTCAAAAAAATTTAAACAGCCACTTTGCAACTAATAAATTGTAAACTGACCCACATCCTGCTACATTAACAGCAGTGAGACTATTCAGACAGTTCTTTCCTTTGATGGTCTTGGTGGTACTTGGTCAATGTGCTCACCAATTTTTCCAGATCCACAAGAGAAAAACTATGATGTGGCTGACTAACTTGAAGAGGATCATTAAACCATAAAGAAATCCAACATACATGTGTACTTATTAAAAAGTGTCTAAATGATTTTGATAAAAAAACAGAACAACTAACAAATAATACCAACTGGCAACAGTGCAATGTTTTGGAATTATTATATAGGAATTGGTATACCCTTATACATTTATATTCTTTATTATATTTTACCCATCTTCAAAAACTGAAAGAAAGTACATACCACTCAAGTTTAACATTTGGACACCAGGTTATGAAAAGAAACGGAAAAAATATTTCAAAATCCCATAAAAAGTAATGACATGAAAACATGGGTGTACCTGACCTTTTATGAATCTGTAGAATCCGCAGAAATTAACTTCTTTCAGTTAGATCTTCATTCCTCCCAAAAGGAACAGCGAACCCAATTTGGAATTTGTCGATTGCCTCTTCCAACAAAACACACCTTACAGCAGTTTCTTGGAGGTTTTCAGAACACATGGGGCTTTTGCTTGACTTCGGCTCCGCTTGGCTCAGCTTCGTTTCGCTACGGCTTTGTTTCCCTCCGTTTTTGTTCGTTGTGCTTCGTGTGTGTTTTCGTATAGCTTCGGCTTTGTTGGTTTGCGTTTGTCTCCTTGTACTTTCATTTGTTTGCGTTTCGTTTTTTTTCCCCCACCATTACCTTGCCTTACGAGTTATATCAACCTCTGTCTTCTCTCGTACCCGATTATTCTATATTGTCGATGATAAAAATTTGTCTACAAATATTTCCATTGTTGATTTCTCATTTA